CAGCCGTTCTACATCCTCGTGTACGTCGACGACTTGGTCTTTGCCACAGCTGGCACTGCTGGACTCGCCCACGTGAAGTCCGAGCTGCAGAAGAGACACACGTGCACAGACCTGGGTGAACTGCGCAGCTACCTTGGCTTGCAGATCACCCGGGACAGAGCACGCCGCACCATTACCCTGACTCAGTCACACATGGTGCAGCAGGTCCTTCAGCGCTTCGGCTTCACGTACTCCTCGCCTCAGGCCACTCCTCTGCCTACTCGCCACTCGCTCTCAGCTCTGCCTTCGGATGAGTCCGTAGAGTCGAGTGGCCCGTACCCAGAGCTTGTTGGCTGCCTCATGTACCTGATGACCTGCACACGACCTGACCTTGCATACTCTCTTAGCATTCTTGCACGCTATGTTGCTCCTGGGAGACACAGACCGGAGCACATGGCTGCAGCGAAGAGGGTGTTGCGCTACTTGTGCAGTACGTCGGGCATGGGGCTTGTGCTTGGAGGGCAGAGTCCAGTGGTCCTCACTGGACACGCAGACGCTTCTTGGGCTGACGACCAGGCTACGCAGCGGTCGTCACAGGGTTACACCTTCAGCCTTGGTTCCGGCTCTGTTTCGTGGCGGGCTACTCGCTCGTCTTCTGTTCTCGGCTCCAGTTGTGAGGCTGAGATCTACGCCGGGGCCATGGCTGCACAGGAGCTTCGCTGGCTCACCTACCTGCTGACTGACCTCGGAGAGCCGCCTCGTTCTCCTCCAGTGCTCTACGTAGACAACAAGGCCATGCTGGCCTTGTGTCGAGAGCAGAGACTGGAGCACAGAACGAAGCACATTGCTCTTCGCTACTTCCTTGCTCGTGAGCTACAGCAGCGTGGTCAGCTGCGACTTGCGTACGTGGCCTCTGAGGCCAACACTGCTGATATCTTCACCAAGGCACTTGCGCCTTGTGATCATCAGCGCTTCTGTACTCAGCTGGGTCTTGTACCTACCTTGCCTCACTTGCTCACCTCTTGACCTTGTTTGTACTGTTGCATATATATATACTCCTGCTCTTGCTTGTCTAGCCTTATATATATATGTAATCTTGCATGTGAACTGGCCTTGTGGCCTTGAACTTGTGCTCGGAATGTGTGGTGACTTTGTGATCCACCCTGAGCTTGCTTTGCTTTGCTTGACTGGTCTTGTGACCCCTTGTTCTCCCCCACTTTGCCTATGGGGGTGTGTCAGAGTTATATGACATAGCTACTGTAGGCTATAGTGGGGTAGCACATATGGGGTACAGTTGCCTAGGGTTTGCCTTTTGTACCCAACTTTCACTTAGTCATTTCATTCCTGTTTTCTTGATTCACAGGATAGACAGAGAGGACAAATCAGACCATGGAACAACTCATTCGAGCCACGTGCGACGACCCAACCACCTGGGAACAGCAACTGCCACTCATCGAGTTCGCGTACAACAACTCACCTTCCGCCACGACCCAACAGTCACAATTTTACCTGAAGTGCGGACAAGACCCGACAGTACACATGACTCCGCATCCCGACAACCCGGTGCCACGAGCACAACAGTTCGCCGAAATTTTACAAGCAGCACGGAACCGGGCAGCAGACGCAATAAAAAAAATCGAACATCATCGCTAAACGCAACGCCGACCGTCACCGCCGACCTGTCACTTACCAGCCCGACAACCTAGTTTTACTCGACACCCAGAATCTCCGCCTGCCCATCACCCCAAAACTTCGCCCCCGATACTGTGGACCATTCCGCATCAGCCACATGATTACACCCGTCACCGCCCATCTCCTCCTCCCCGCTGACTGGTACGTCAGCCCATCCTTCCACGTCAGCCTGCTTCGCCCCTACGTACCATCCACAAGCCAACTGCCACGCAATCGCCCCGCCAGCATGACACGACCACCGACCGAGCCAATCATAACACCCGAGAAGATCCTGAGCCACCGAGTTCGTGACCCACGAGGAGCCCGAAGGATCGAATTCCTAATCCGCTGGAGAGACCGTACACCCACCGAAGACAACTGGGTTTCCCTGGACAGAATCGAAAACCACCCCGTCCTCACAGAGTACCTGCGCAGCCGAAATTTCCGGGATGTACACGCGCTTTCGTAAGGAGGGCCTCCTTAGGGGGGGGATAGTGTAAGGAAAATTCCTTTTCCTTACTTCGCGCCCCTGTTCAAGCGCGTACACCACTATAGCACCACAGTCAGCACCGTTACCACTCGCAACCCTCGCATCGACAATCCTCCCGCCACCTTCGTACGTCGCACCCCGACCTCACGGCTCGGCGGGTAACCCGCGCTCCGGGCCTCCGCCTCGACATTTTCCCAAACCTCGGTTCCAGGCCCGTCGCGCGTCACCCACAGTTCATTACCGTTACCACTGTAGTTTCGCTATATATTCTTCGCTCATGCCTTCGCTCATTGTACTCTTGCTTCGATAGTGCAATTCTCGCTCGCTCACTCAATTGCACTCGAAACATTTTCTATGACTGTACGTGATAGCGGGAAACCAGCATTCACCCCCCTGGTTGCCTTGTCGCCTACTTTCCAAAGGTCTGGGAGAGACTGTTCTAGTTGTGTCCTTTACCACACACGTTGACCAAGCCATGACGGATACGGGCCTGGACGATGTCACAATGACGTGGATAATCCATCGCCCAAACATGTTAGGACAACTGGCACGATGGGCTTGGAGGAGGTTTGCGTGCTGGGGCCTACAAGGCTCGTCTCAGGCCGCCTTCAGAAGAACCATACCAGCGAAGGAGGTATTGCAACAAGGCTGAACCCGACCGAACCTGAGTTCCTTCTCAACTATGGCAGCCGCAAAGCGACTGCGGCTGGAGGGGGGGATTTGACGGGATGGTGAGATCGCTTGCCTCGGAAGCGAGCTCAGCTCTGGTGTCTGCGGTAGGCCGTACCGAAGCGTCTGAAGGCCAATGACAAGCCTCACCCACATTCGACTAATCTAAACCTTGAAGATTTTCATCTAATAGCGCAGCCTCGATACTAGCCGAACCTGCCATTATGAAACTCTCTGTGGTACGCTGCCCGAGTGCTTGTTGCTTAGGCTTGTCGGTATGTTCATCAGTCAGTCGTTCCAAGCCTAGTAATAAGGTTAGGGCTCGGGCTAGCTTTGGCTCTTGACCGTGTCCGCTCACTAGTCCCACATTCGACCTCAAATCCTGTTCAAGAAGCACGTATCGTATTTCCTTGAGCAGTTAGGTCGGTTCTTGGAGTCCAAAACAGTTCAACCACACAATCTATGCTCCATCGCAATGCAACGTCTCTCTAGCTACATAGTGTGTCGTTCTGATGTAGATCACGCCCTGACCAGATCAGTCATACTGAACCAGCCACACACCGCCATCCGAACCAGGTGGGACCCCGAACCCCGAGCCAACACGCGTGATTTCTCCAATGCCGTGCGGGGGTCGCAGTCAGCAGTGGCGGCCGTTTGCGAAACGTTGCTTCCGTCAGCTCAGCAGGGCAGCATCGCTGCACCATCCATCCATCCATGCTGCTGGTCCGTCCGATCTACTGTAACCTGGGTGGGTGGGAGCGATATGAGGCATGGCATTTGAGAGAGAGAACCAAGGCTTCTGCTGGTCGTCCAGCTTGGTTCAGATTGTTCTCACGCGGTAAGTTACGGTTCTTAGCTGTCACCGGTTTCAACCGCAACGAAGCGAGCTAGACCGTGGTACTTGAACTGGGAACGTATGCACAGGAAACACTTGCTCCGTACTATGTTAGTGGAATGCTGGCCTAGGGGTTTCACCCCCAGTCCTCCATTCCATAGAATCTTAGCAGCTGGCTGGTGATTCCCTGTGCCTGGTCCGTTTCCGTACTTGACTGTCCTGTCACCGAGATAGCTGCGTCCTCCCCGCGACTCGGATCTCCTGTATCAGTGTTTATATTTCGCGGGCTTTTCTTGAATGCTCATTACTTCGTAGTAGTTTTGAGTTATCAATTGCTCTTGTTTAGAAAGGAGGCTGAGGACGTATTAACCTTTTAATTATCGCTTAAACCGCCGTCATAGAAAGACCCGAGTATTCATTAGCCTTTAAAGCCTTCTTTCACTCGAGAGTCACAGAAGAAGCTCTATCACGCTGAGGAGCTCTGCTAATACAAGCCCGGTTATATTGCCTGATTGATCCGTTACTAAGACTGACTTTCTATTAACAAGGTGCTTTAAGATTTCAAGAATTCTCTTCTGAATGGCCGCCATTTTCTTCCGCTGCTCTGCGCCTCCTTGCGTCTCGCTCACGCTCTCCTCCTCCTCCGCTGCCCGTGGACCTTCTAGCAGCTCTTGCTCCCCTCCCGGTTTCTGCGTAACTTCACGCCGGCCGTTGCTTCCGTCGCCGGAGGGATCTCTTTTTTCTGACGCTACCCGTTCGATCAGCGTTCTCGGTCGCGCAAATTGCCAGAAGAAGCGGAACAGTTGCTGTGGTATCGGCATCAGCGGCAATCGTGGCGGAACCGTCAAATGCTCCTCCGAATTGAGGACACCGTTGATTTCCCCAACTTCCTCTCCGACGATTCCCGCCGTTCCCGTTGTTTCTACTTCTGGTAGCAACGCCGGTAACAGCGCCGGGAGCAGCAGTTGCAATGTTGATGGGGAGGTGGTGAACGCTGGTACTACGAGCCCTACGGAGTCTGTTTATATCGAGTCGTCTTCAGTTGGATCCAGAGAATCCGCTGGGTCTTATGTGGCAGCCAATGGGGAGGATTGTCAGAGCGACTGTGGAGTCGCGGTCCGTGGTACCCGGGAAGGCGCTCCGGAAGCCGTCGGCTCAATGCAGCAGTTTAACTCGGTGTCACGACAGCAAGGACCGGACGCTAAGATTACCGGCGACCGGCAAATCAAGACTGTTGGCGAAGCTAAGAGGAGCGCAGGCGAACGGAGGAAGATTGCAGGACGACGGAAGAAAGCGGCTAGCGGCACACCGCACTCCGAACCCGCCTCCCGTTCCTCGCAGCTCCTCCGCGCGCTGATGCGAGGAAGGTTTGACGAAGCCGCGTCGCTCGCAACGGCTCCCAGCGCAGAACACGGGGTTCGGAATCCTAAGGAATCGGCTCCCGTGTTTATCCGCGCGGCTGCGACGGCCAACGCAGCCGCCATAGGTCTCAGCATCGTGACCGCCGCGCCTTGCCTCCCCACCGTTTCCCCCGCCTCCGCCGCCGCTTTCAACCGCGTTGCTGACGTGGCGGCGGCGGGGCTGCCGGCGGAGGTTCTGCCGCCGATCGCGGCGGTGAATACGGGCGACGTGTGGCCGTCGCTGTACCACTCGGCGCAGTTCTTCTCGTCGTTCCGCTCGCTGCCCGTTCCGATCACGTTCGACCAAGGAAGCTTCGCGGATCGATCGGGCTTCGCCGCGCCGCCGCTAGTGTACACATACCCTTCCGCTGACGTCACGAGTGACGCGTCGGTGGGGACTAGTAACGAGCCGCTAACGGCTCCCGCAGTCGCTGAATCGTCGGCAGTTCCGGCATCCCTGCCGGCTAATCTACCGGCTGCACTACCGACCGCACTACCGGCCGCCTTACCCGCTTCTCTCCCTGCTGGAAACTATGTTCTGCCCGAGCCTACTGCTGCGGTTTTGCGCATGTCCCCCTCTAGGGCTGCGGTGCCCAGTGCGCCTGTGTCGCTCAATTACTCCGCTCCCGCCGCGTCCGCGGATGCGGGGAAGGAGGCGGCGGGTCCCGCGGGCGCGGCTGCTGACGTGGTGTTCGGTGTCAATGTGTCCGTGTTAAAAGCCGCCTTCGGAACTGTGTTTAAGCTCTTCGGCATCTGCGGTAAGATCTAAGACGTCTCAGAATTTAGGTTTGTAAACGCCTCATAAGCTTTGCCGCCTTTTCTCTTTGCAAGGTTTTGGGAAGGCGATTTTTCCCGCCTGGCGTCTCTCTCTTCCTCTACCTTCCCTATCCCATTCCCCCCACCCCTCCCTTCCCTCCCTCCTCTCTTCCTCACTCCCCCCGTGCTCCGTTGCATGTTGCCATACACATTTTACATCTTACATTACTCGCCTCCCATTAAGTCGATGTTCCTTCGCCTCACCTCGCCCCTCTTCCTCCTTCCCCCCGGTGCTCCTTTGCATATCGTCATTCACATTTCCTTACGTTTCGCGCCTCTTCGCCCGTCTAAAAGTTCCTTCGCCTCACCTCGCCCCTCTTCTTCCTCCCCTTCTCCCCTTTGATCCCCCTCCTCTCCTGCCCCCCGTTCGCCCTCCCTTTCCCCCCTGCTCCACCTCCTTTCCATGCTGTGCGTGTGTGAGCAGCGTTCGTGGTGTGTCTGCAGAAGTCGGGCATTCTCCCCAAGTCCACGCCCTCTGTGCTCAGCCAGGTGCGCTTGTCCTTGCGTGTGCGTGTGCGTGCGGGGGTTGGGGGGGGGGGCTACTGAGCGTGCGGATGCGGGGTGGGGGTGGTTTGAGTCGGGCATTCTCCCCAAGTCCACGCCCTCTGTGCTCAGCCAGGTGTGTTGATGGGGTTTGCGGGTGTGTGAACGGGGTGGGTGCGAGCAGGCGTGCGTGGTTGGCGATGTTAGCACGTGCGCATGTTTAGCCGTACACCAGTGCTCACACCTGCACCGTTATCAGTCAAGCACACGGGCGCGCGAATAACCAAACATTTCCAGTACTTTATGTACGATTTGTCGCCTCACTGTAGCTTCACTGTGAACTCTTAATGACCCCATGAACCTCCCTTCATCCTCGCTTCTCCCCATGAAACTTTCTTCTGCCTCGCTTCTCTCACCCTCGCCCTCGTCCACCCTCTGTCTCCCCAGGTCTCCTTCCGAGTGCTCATCCCATGCTTCCTAATGAGCAAGGTACGCCTCCCATGCGCTGCTTCTCCTGGCTCTGCTTCTTAGATGTGATATTTGAGTTGACTAGGAAATGTTGTCTCCTTCCGAGTGCTCATCCCATGCTTCCTAATGAGCAAGGTACGCCTCCCATGCACTTCTGTTCCCTGCCTCCGTTTCTTTTATCTCCCGTGCATGCCGATCACAATTTCCCTGGGTTATCATCGAATCATGTGCTTTCCCTCTAATTACCTTCTCACTCTAATCTCGTCACCTTACTCATCCATCTCTTCTCCCGTGTTCTCCCCTCCGCCGTTCCACCCCGTCCCTACGTCCCTCCCCCTCCCCATCCCCCTCCCCCTCCCCCTCCCCCTCCTGCTCCTCCTTCCCTCCATCGCGTTCCCGCTCTCTGCAGGTGGCCGCCACTCTCTCTGGCGAGTCCCTGTCAGCCCTCGCAGTGCTGCCGCTCATTGCTATTCTCCAGGTAACTACCAGCACAGACTCAACCTCTGCATGCCGTGGGCCATCCGCCTTCTGTTGCCTGATGCCGCGCTGCTGCTTGCTGCCTGTTTGCTGCCTTCTTGCTTGCTGCCTGCCTGCTGCCTTCCCAACACTCCTGCGTTTCTTGTTTCCATGCGTGTGTTTCCTCTCCAGGTGTTAGTAGGCACGGTGTTGGGCAAGGCTGCATGCCTCGTGGCCTTCCACAAGCCGTCTTCACTGCTGCCCTGACGCCTAATGCTGCCCCCCTGTCCTGCCAACACCCCTCCGCGTGTGTTTCCTCTCCAGGTGTTAGTAGGCACGGTGTTGGGCAAGGCTGCGTGCCTCGTGGCCTTCCACAAGCCCTCGTCACTGCTGCCCTCCGCTGCCCTGCTGCCCTCTCTTGTCACCGGCAACACCGGCAGCAGCAGCAGCAGCAGCAGCAGCAGCAGCAGCAGCAGCAGCAACTTGAAGCATGGCGACGGCACCAGCAGAGAAACCCACTCTGAGCTTGTCGCCACTGCTGCCGAACCAGCAGCATCGGCAGCAGCAGTGTCATCAGCAGTAGCATCGGCAGCAGCAGCAGCAGCAGCGGCACTGAGGACAAAGGAGTCGGTGGTGACAGCGGTGTGTGCGTTCAGCAACTCGCTGTCGCTGCCTCTCGTGTTCCTCACGGCGCTGCTCAGCCAGGTGGACGGCGACAGGGCAGCTGGCTACCTCGCTCTCTTCATGATGGGGTGAGTGCTTGTGTGCAAGCCTGCTCCCTCTCCGCAAACCCCTCCTCCCACATGGCAGCCGGCACTGTGGACGATTGGCTACAGCATTCTCAAGGACGTGGGGGTTCTGATCCGCAACCTTTTCCCCCCTCCCCTCCCCTCCCTTCCCCTTTCCACAAACCCATGCTCCTCCCACAGCTGGCAGCCGGCGCTGTGGACGATTGGCTACAGCATCTTGAAGGATGCTGGCAAGCCTGCTGGCGGTGTGAGCAGCAGCAGCAGCACCAAGCCAGCTGCGACTGTTGTTGCTGCTGGTGGTGGTGGTGGTGTTGGTTCCGTGCGTGCGTGGGCGAGCAACGCTGTGGAGTGTGTCTCTGGCGTGGCTAAGAAGGTGTTCAACCCGCCTATGTATGGGGTGAGTTGATGGTTTCCTGTGCACATGGGGCTGATGGTATGGGAGGCTGCGCACGCGTGGGCGAGCAACGCTGTGGAGTGTGTCTCTGGCGTGGCTAAGAAGGTGTTCAACCCGCCTATGTATGGGGTGAGTTGTTTGAATACCAGCCTATATATTGGGTAAGTAGTTTTAAGTACCCCCCATTCCTTCTGGCTTTCGCCAATATTCCTGTCGCTTCCTCTCTTACCTAACCCCTGCGGGTGTTTTTTCCTTGTTTGCTACCCTTTAGGTTCTCGTGGGGGTTGTTATCGGCACCACCCCGCTCGGCCATTTCTTCCTGCCTGCTGCTGCTGATGCTGCTGCGGCTGCTACAGCTGCTGCTGCTGGCTCAGGCGACCTGCTGTCCTCTCTCCTCAGCCCTGCTACAGCCGGAGTGCTAAACCCTCTGTTTGGGGTGAGTGTGTGCTACATCCATTGTTTAGTGTGATTGGGAGCGAGAGGTGTATGATTAGAGGGTTTCGGGTTCAATGACTGGAACCTCCAAATAATTGTGCTCACGCTAACTGTATACTTACTACTTACTGCCTTTCTGCTTTACTACTTATGCTAACCAAGCCTGCAGTCTGCAGGCAGCAGGCATGCTAGGGGGGGCATGTGTCCCTGTCCAAATCATCGTCCTCTCCCCCTCCCTTGCTAACGTGCCCTTTCTTCCTTCCCCACCCGCCCATTCACCCGTTTAGGCAGCAGGCATGCTTGGGGGAGCATGCGTGCCAGTGCAAACCATCAACCTCTCTTCCTCTCTCGCTAATGTGCCCTTTGTCCCTTCCCTACCCGCCCATTCTTCCGTGCAGGCAGCAGGCATGCTAGGGGGAGCATGCGTGCCAGTGCAAACCATCGTCCTCTCTTCCTCTCTCGCTGACGCCCTCCCCTCCAACCTCTCTTGGCCCAAATTCCTCCCCGCGCTCCCCAACCTCCCCACTCCTCCCAACCCCTTCGCAAACCTCCAAAAGTCCCTCTCTGCCAAATTCCCCGCCCCTGTCTTCCCTGCTGGTTCCCCCCCTCTCGCCGATCTCCACCACCTCCTCCAATCCCTCCTCACCCCTTCGTCCTCCTCTTCTTCCTCTTCTCACCCCTCCTCCTCCCCGTCCTCCTACTCCTCTTCCTCCTCTGATTCCGCCTCCTCACTTTGGCTCCTAGCCCGTTTAGTCCCCCACCAACCATTCCTTGGGAACTCCGTTCTAGCAGCTTCCTACTCCACTGCTGCTGCAGCTGCAGCCACCGCTTCAGCTGCTTCAGCAGCTGTTGTCGCCGGTGGCGCCACTGCTGCTGTCCTGGCCGTCCCAGTGCAAGGGAGAGTGGAGAGGGGCGCGGAGGTGTTGGAGAGGGGTGAGGATGGGTTGAAGCAGGTGCGGTCGTGTGAGGCCGAGAGCAACACCGAGGCGGTGGGAGGGGTGGCGATGCTGGGGGATGGGGACGTTACGGGTGCACTGGAGGTGAATGGGCTAGAGGCGGTGGAGTTAGAAATGGATTTGAGCATGGGCCAGGGTGCTGCCATGCACCTGGAGCGACCAAACACTGATGCTGCAGCAGCAGCAGCTGTAGGGGACGCTGATGCTGCCGGTCCTTCCACTGCAGCAGCTGCCGTGGGAGAGGAAGTAGCAGCGCCTATTCGCCCTGTTGCTCCTGCCATGTCTCCTGAACTGGCAGCTGCGCTGGCTCCTGCTACTGCTGCCGCCCTCGCCCCTTCTTCCTCCGCTGTGTTTGCCCATACAGCAGCAACACCAACCGCCACGGCACCTGAATCCGTTGCCACTGCCCGCGCCGCATCTGCTGTTGTCGCTGCCACTGCTGTACCTGCTGCTGTTCCTGCTGCTGCTGCTGCTGCTGCTGCTGCTGCTGCTGCTGCTGCTGCTGCGGTAGCTGCACCTGCCACCGCACCAACTTTGGCAGGGCCGCCAGCAGACCTGCTGGACAATCGTGCGCTGGTAGTGGTGTCACTCGTGCGCCTGCTCGTCTCTCCCATCGTTGGCATGACCAGCATCATGGTGCGTTCCCAGGGTTTAGGGTTGAGGTTGAAGGTATAGACGTTGAGGGTGCCTGCAGGGCCGCCAGCAGACCTGCTGGACAACAATGCGCTGGTAGTGGCTTTTGAATCGACTCAAAAGTCAATAGGATGGCAGCAGCAGTGCCTGCAGGGCCGCCAGCAGACCTGTTGGACAATCGTGCGCCGGTGGTGGTGTCACTCGTGCGCCTGCTGGTGTCTCCCAACGTCGGCATGACCAGCATCATGGTTCGTTCCCAGGGTTTAGGGTCGAGGTTTAAGGTGTAGAGGTTATAAGGTTTAGGGTGCCTGCAGGGCCGCCAGCAGACCTGCTGGACAATCGGGCGCTGGTGGTGGTGTCGCTCGTGCGCCTGCTGGTGTCTCCCATCGTTGGCATGACCAGCATCATGGTGTGTTGCTAGGGTTTAGGGCTCCTTCCTGTGCTGCTTTGTTGGCCTGCCACTGCAGGTGCATCTCCCGCCGTCTTCAACACTCATTCCTCGGTCGCTAACCTCATCTATCTCTCTCTCCCCCCGTTTCTCTTTCCCGCTCTGCCAGGCTCTCTACCACGCTCACCTCATTCCCCAGGACCCTATCTGCGCGCTTTGCCTCATGGTAAGAGTGCTGACGCCAATAAGCTTTCAGGTCTTATGACTGCTCATGCTCACGTATCAATGTTTTCAGTACTCTCTCTTGTTCTACGTCCACTCATCTCGATTTAACTCATCTCGCTTCCTTCTGCTTGCTCTCGTCCCCCTTTCAGGTGCCCACAGCCATGCCGTCATCTCAGAGCCTCGTGGTTCTCACTCAGGTTAGTTGCCTCTGCTCCCTGGTCAGCATACCAAAATTCATGTATGTGTATCTTGTGCATACTTTCCTTCTTTGTCCTTAGCTGAAGTGGAAACTGCGGAAGCGATATTCCCCATTTTCTCTGCCCTTATTTCTCCATTCTAAATCGTTCCCTCCTCATTCCTCCCTCCTGTTCCCTGACTGCAGCTGAGTTCTAAGACGCGCCCTCTAGCAGGAGTGCTCGCCTCACTCATGCTTCGACAGGTGAGCCCCTTCCGTTCCTTCTACTATGGATATGTTGCCCTTTTCTTTGTTGCAACTCCTCTTCCTCCTGGTCTTTCCTCTCTGGGCTCATCGGCTCTCAATGAAGGAACAATGCCAGCATCGGTTATTGATCAAAATTCATTGTCTGGTTGGAAGATTAGAACATGATGCTTACAATAAAAACAACCTGACCACGTGTCACAAAACCACGTGCTGCACAAGACAGATATGGTGCTGTCATTGTTCACTAGGTTTAATGCGGTGCAGCGCAGTTCCATCCATGCCTTATGTTTCTATGAGTCTAAAATGTACATTTTAACTGACAACCAACTTGTCCAGGAAGCTTGCTGCCCGGGACAAAAACATCAATTCTCACAATAAATGGCATTAAACCATAGGGATGCATCAAAACCGTAACACGTTGCCGCACATCGTGGTTAGGTTTGATGCCTCCTTGAATGGTATGCCATCCAAGGTTTATTTTTTTTCTTCCTGCTTGATGTTCAGTGTCAACGGTTAGATGTTCAGTGTCAACAGTTAGATATTCAGTGTTGCCCACAGCAAAAAAATCTCCACTGTAAACAATCCAGACTAATATTTCTGACTCTCGTTCTCCCCATCGTTTCCCCACCCCTCCAGTACGCCCTGGCCATGCTACCCATCACTATCTGGGTCACCGTTTTCCTCACCATCCTCAACATCCCCATGTGATGACCATCCAAGCATGGCACTTCACCCACCACTGTAACTAGCTTTTTCCTCACAGCTGTAGCATGGCAGTGTAAGCGTGGTCGTTTTGGTTTCCTACAATGAATGAGGTGATGTAGGCTAGCGAAAACAGTGGAAAGCAGCATAGGTGGTAGCAGGTAGACATGGTGACAGTACAAGCAGCGGCAGCAACTGCAGCAGGAACTCGACAAGCAGCAGTCATTGGATCAGCAGCAACAGCTGCAGCACAAAGATGGCTTCAAAGTCGTGGTGTTGCTTGCACATGGTATGGCACATAGCAGAACTGCAGCAGCGGAGAAGAGCAAGGGAGAAGAGCAAAACATTGTGGATTTTTTAGCAATCTGGGCTAGTATTTATAGGTGCACTACAATCCTTATGCATTGTGGGAAATGTGCAGGAACAGTTTGAATTGTCCACTCCATCCCAAGTGTCAATCGTATATTTACCTTGCATAGAGAATGGTGTAGGTGTAACAATCTTGTGCCCAGTCGAATTAGAAGGCACCGCTGTGAGTGCCCAGTGTGGCATATCTTAACCTGCAAGCAGCAGGGAGAGAGACGGGCACACAGCAGAACTTTCTCTCAGTGAAATGCATGCCAGGAACGAATGCAGAGAGGGCAAACTAACAGGTGAAAACAAATCAACTCACCCATCATCAGTGAAGGTTTAGACGGAGTTGCTGAATGCGTTGTAAGGTAGACTCGGAACGTGACAGCATCTGATCCCCATAAACACAGAGAGCGTAGCATATACAGATCCCACTGCCAGGCTCGCCGCTGGTGCTGGCTGCTGCTACTGACACATGACAGGACAGCTTGTTGTTGGTGCTGTGTCAATAGTTGGCTAGCCACTGCTGGAAACCCTCAAGTGATTTAAAGAATACCCAGGACGAGAGGAGAGACTTCTAGTTGGTGTTAGCTGGACAAGCAACAACTTGGCATGCTGCTGCTGCTGCTGATGATGTGTCGGGCAGGAGCAAGTTAGAGATGAGACCAAATTGGAAGTCTCCGAGCTGAATTGTCCGAGTCTGTTATTGGGGCTCCCATGCCAGTCGAGTGGAGTGAAGTCGAATCAGGTCAGTCGAATCAGGTCGAGATAGACATTCCTGTGTTACAGAGACAGCTCCGGAGCAGAAGCAGCAGGGTCTCTGGGCTGGGTGAGCTCAACAGTTGACAGAATGGCTTGCTGCTGTTGGTACCGCTGCTGATGCTGGGTCTGACATGATTCGAGAGATTCGCGGGGGATCAGAGAGGAAACGAGTGGCATGAGGTTACAGGGGCAGCTCCGGTGAAGTACCAGCAGCGTCTCTGGTCCGCGTAGCCTTGACAGGTGCGAGGATGCCTTGCTGCTGCTGCTGCTGCTGCTGCTGCTGTTGATGCTGCTGATGCTGGGCTTGAGACGGTTCCAAGGGGGGGACCAGAGAGGAGACGAGCGCCATGAGGTGGAGTGGCAGAGCGGCCGAACCGAGGAACGATGCAGCCTCCATGAGGCAGTGCATGCAACCTGCCATCTCGCCCGCTTGCCCCTGCAGCCACGCCAGCAGGGACCCGCTGTCGATTAACAGAGTGCTCGTGTCGGCCAATCCATCGGTGACACGTGGCAAGAGGAAGAGTTGGCTGAGAGGTGTGGCGCCAATCAGGAGACCTGCTAGCACCTGACGGCGGCGCAGAGGAGAGGGAGAAGAGTCAAGGTGAGACAAGGTGATTCAAATCAAGGACACAAGGAGGGGAAAGGAGGCACATGAGTGGACAGCAGGACACGTGAAGTGAGGGTGTTTTTGAGACGTTTCAAAAACACCCTCACTTCACGTGTTTTTGAGACGTCTCAAAAACACCCTCACTTCACGTGGTGATTCAAATCAAGGACACACGGAGAGGAAAGGAGACACATGAGTGGACAGCAGGACAAGGGAGAGACATGGGTGGGAGAGAAATGGGTGGATGGGAGGCAGGACAAAGGATACGAACGTATGGAGAGGAGGTGAATGAGGGTGAAGGGGAAGGGAAATGATGAAAGGGTGAGAAAAGGGGAATAAAGGGGTGTGGTTGTGCATGCGCATGTGGGTGGGGTGAGAAGGAGAGCGGGAGAAACAACAGGGCAACCGAACTCACTCCAAGAACAGGAGGGGTGAAGAAATGATTCGAAAGCGACGGCCCAGAGGGGCTCGAAAGCAGGCTAGAATCCATTGCATCTGGCCGCGTTTGGATCCACAGCAGAGCGTTGCATGCCAGAATGAGTAGCGCCGGGGCCCACCTGTTGATTCGCGCATTGACGGGACGTGGGAGGTGGGATGGGGGAAGGGGGAGGGGGAGGGGGATGGAGAGGGAAAGGGGGCGACGACAGCTTAGTCAACAATAGTCAACAACAGGCGCCTCAAAAGCCGTGACAGGTGGACACTGGACAGAGAGAGGCGATGCTGTCTCAAGCAGCAAGACAGGACACGAGAGAAAAGACAGGACACGAGAGAAAAGACAGGACATGAGAGAATGCAATGCGACTTGCTGAAGCAACGCACTCCACCTCGCCTCACTCAACCGCTCTCTCAACCCCCCCCTCACTCATTCCCCCTCCACTCATCCCTTCCCCCGGCCCCCCACACTCATTCCCCCTCCGCTCATCGCTTTCCCCCGGCCCCCCACACTAATTTCCCCCTCCACCCAACCTCCCTTTCCCCTAGCCCCTCCCACTCGTTCCCCCGTCCACTCACCCGCCCACGGCAAGCAGCGCCAGCTGTCCCGCCAGTCCGTCCGCCTGTCTCGCAGACGGCCGTCATGCCGACCAGCAAAAGCAGCGCCATCTCTTCCCCGCTCTTCCTCCCTCAATCTCCCACTCGTACCAACAAACTCACCCGCCCACGGCGAGCAGCGCCAGTTGTCCCGCCAGTCCGTCGCCGCCTCCCCCTGTCTCACAGACGGCCGTCATGACGACCAGCAACAGCAGCGTCATCACTGGCGAGCCGAGCCGACCGCCGAGATTGCCAGCAGCGTCACTACCGCCTGCTGCTGCAGCAGATTTGGCGGCTGGTTCGGTGGTTGGTTCGGCGGCCGGTTGGTTGAGGGAGGAGAGGGAGACGGAGATGGCGGCAGCGAGTTGGTGCAGAGCGGTTGAGGGGAGTGGAGAGAGATGAAGCGGCCGGGGGAGGAATGAGGAGGATGAGGAGGATTGGGGGGAGGATTGGTGAGCGAGGTGACCCAACGAGGCTGCACAGAGAACCTGGATGAGAGAGGGCAGGGGATTTGACAGCAGGACAAGACAGAGAGAGAGAACGAAGTGACTCTTGAGTCGACGGAAAAGTCACTAGGTGACGGAATGAGGCTGCACAGAGGAACTGGATGAGAGAGGGTACGAGGCGGCGAGGACAAGACAGAGAGAGAGCGAGGTGGCTTTTGAGTTGACGCAATGGAGAGGAAAGACAAGTCACGAGGTGAGAAGAAGGGGGAGCAGACGTGCGCGAGTGCAATGAGGGTGAGCGAGGATAGCACCAACTAAGGTTCACTATTTGAGTCGACTCGAAAAGAAGAGGAGAAGTGAAGAGAAGAGAAGAGACGGAAGGGGGAGCATACCTGCGCGAATGCTATGAGGGGGAGCGAGGATAGCACCAGCTCAGGTTCACTCGAAACTGCCGACGCCACGTGTACCGCCAGGAAGCACGGGATGAGCACGCGATTCGCCACCTGGAACGAGACAGGGTACGCACCGGGGAAGGCGGAAGGCGGAAGGCAGGCGGAAGGCCGAGGAAATAGAAAGAGGGAGTGCGACGCAAGGGAGGGGGATCCGAGTCAGCAACGTGCGTTCAGAGGGGAAATAGACACCGACGCATGGACGGAGCGACAGCGAGTAGCTAGCAGCAGAGAGCGAGAGAGAGCGAGGAAAGATACGAGAGGAACGGAGCAAGCGATTGAGCGCACCTGGGCTAGGACGTGGGCTGTGGAAGGTGGCAGGGTGCCGACTCGCTGGAACCAAACCAGCAGCACTGCGAAATGAACGGTAACGAAACAAGCGAAACGAAAGGTAACACGCCAGAAGAAAGGAAACACGTCAAACGAAAACGTAAAGCACAATGACGGACGTGAGAACAGTAAAGCTGTCCGTAAGTACGCAGGCAACAAGAAATGCCTCAGGCGAACAGCTACAATGACAAGCAAGCAGCCATGACCGGAGGCAAATGAAATATTTTAGACGAAGAAGAACGGCTTACTGCGAGTAATGGATATGCATCAGATGCACCACGTGAATACAAAAAAATCCTTACCGCAGGCGGCGACGAGATTCGAACACGTGCTGACCACGCCGCGCGACGACGCGTCGCGTGAAGCCAGCTGCATAATCGGACCCGATTTGGACGCGCCTGAGACACTATCGGAAAGTAAGACTGTAACCGCGTTGTCTGCTATCGAAGGTGCTACTGTAGCGGGTAATAAAGTCAAACTTAAATCGCCAAAACTTTCCAATGAAGGCGCTGCGAGCGATGCCGGCGCGAGGACCATGCCCTTCTCTAGCGCGGAAGAATCGCGGAACAAGACCGATTCCGCTTGCGGAACCGACTCGAACGAGGTGACGTCAGCGGCTAGAGCAGGAAGAGCAGAAAAAGCGAGGGCTGCGCTTATGGCTGCCGCTGAAGCGAGAGAGAGAGGTCGGGGGAGCGATGCGGAAAGGCTGGATGGGGGGGTATGACCTGCATCTGGAGTGTCGGAGTTCGTTGTGTGGTGTATTCTAGTACGAGCCTTAATATTGTCTAAGGTGCAACTGATGCCGTTTGTGGGGCGACAAGGAGGCGAGGAAGCTTGTGACGGGGATATATAGAGTGGATTGAATCTTAATGGCAGTGGGTTGCGGAGAGCGGAACGACGGAGGAGAGGGGGCGAGGCTGGGCAAAATGGGGAAGGTCTGGGAGAGGAATGTAACTGATAAGCCGAAACCTCAGGGGTGAGGCGATGACTGACAGTTGAGCAACAGAGGGACGCCATGACGATTTGCTTGTACAATTCAAGGTTGGCGATGTTGTCTTCGCGTTCGCGGGGACGATCTGGAGAGATGATTTCTCACGAGGCCTAGCAACTTTGCGACCTTCCGATTTCGCGACCTAGCAAGTATACGACTGGACGGCTATGCTTGCAGCACTTCACTGCTCGCTGACGTAGACAGAGCAGGCCAGAGGAGCGTAAGCAGAACTACCTAAGCTTCCAGCAACTCTAGCATAAATCACGTTGTCAATGCGACGGAAACTTGTGGAGCGGAGTTGCTAGCGCAGAGAGATCAGACAATGTCTTATACACTGACAATACAGACTTGAAGGTTGGAAAATGCTTTGGTGATTGACTGGAGCTTGATGCACTGAAATGGTGGTAAATAAGCACGCGGAATGTGCGTGCCCTCCTGGAAAGAGAAGAACAGCTATAGATTGAGAACGAGAACTAGCCACAGATTTAGGATAAAGCAGTCTTCCCCTGCGAGAGTAGTTCTCACGCTTTCTGTTGGCTGGATGATGAAAGCATTGCGTCAACTCAACCACACAACGCTGAAGCTATGGCGGTTTTGCAGGCATCTTTGCAACTACCATACCGTAGCGTACCCGAACGTTCTGTATCTGACTTCACCGTTTCCCATCTTGCTAATAGTGGGACCCAGCAGCCTTGGGAATTGGTGCGTGTGTACCCCTGACCCCTTCTTCCGTGAGGGTGGTGGTGATGAGCAGAATCGTGTGGCTGGCTGGCGGCGGCAACACCGAGGCACCAACCTATCCCGAAGCGAACTTTGCGAGGAAAAGATGAAGATTCTGCCTGAGGTGTCGTCGTCAGGTCACTCGTGCGATGCTATGCGACTCGAGAGATACGACAGGCAGATGCAGAAGATGCGGAAGATGCGTGCTTTTGTAAAGGCGTGTTTTACGTCGGTGTCGCCATTTGTCACAAAACCACTACTCCGTTTGTGTAAAGAACAACACACAATCAGCCCTTTTGCATATATTACCTTCAAGGTGTCATGAAACATCACTTCGGATCCGTTGTGGAAACAGCATGTCAACGATCGCAGTGAGATTCGCCAACTCCAAACATCCTGCTGGCGGAATATTCCGTCTCAAGCATGTGGAGTATCGCCAACCAATCGTCTCGTCGTCGACTTGCTGAACACAGGGATCCAGGTAAGCAACGGGAGCAATTTATGATGCGCTGTCAAGGGGGTGGGAGTATTACGGCTGACTCGTCGCCAGCAACATTGTCGCTGCGTCGGGTATTGGTCGACCCGAACCAGCGGTGGACATGTAGATGATGCCAAACCAGGCACTTCACAAGAACGGAATATTCTTGCTGAACAGGTAAGCGTGGGAAATCGTGCTACACCTTGATTCGATTTCACATACGTGGATAGAAAGGTCAACGCTATAACTTAATGTTCACGTGCATATTCCATAACATAAAAGACATGACCCCTTCTGAGCATGACCTCGATGAGGTGCACTTGGCTCGCTGTCGCACAAGGTGCAAACTGGGAGAATGGAGTAGGGGCTTGGCGTGTCTTACAGCTGGCAGTATGGCGCAGCCCTCTCAGCACATTGTTGACTCGCTACGCGCCAAACACCCATCGTGCGGGACTGCCATTCCGGAGTGGGTTAAGGAGGCGACAGACGAGCCGTCCCTCATACCCCAGTTACCAGTTAAGGAGGCACTCAGCCAGGCAATCCATTCGGGGGTTGTGGGTCCTTACACAGTGGACCAGGAGAGATGTAGTGGAGCGTATGCTACCCTGGTTCACTCCGTCCAACTTTGTAGGTCTATCGAAGCCGAGTGGTGACGTTCGTTCAGTGGCTATCGACGAGGTGCTCATCGCATAGTGTTTCGAGCTCTATGCATCGTGATTCGCTTGAAAATGTGGTCGCACTTCTCTCCGGTTAATGAGCTTGGAGTGGGGTCCAGGTCGGGAGTGAAAGTCATAGCACACGCCGTTCGCTCCGCCATCTCTACCCGCCCGACGTTTTGCGCGCTTCAAGTAGACGTGGCGAATGCTCTCAACTCTTTCAATCGGCGGGATATGTTTGAGGGCATTTGTTAGCCACCTTTTGCTGGATAGATTCCATTCGTGCGCATCTTATATGGCACCTCTAGCGACCTCTATCTTCGTGCAAGCCCTTTCGTCCATGCTTTGGCTTCCGAGCTGGGCTCGAGGCAAAGGGACCCATTGGGGCCGTTCCTATTCGCGTTCACACAGCAGCTAGTCATGGAACCGACCAAGTATAAATTTGCCGACCTCATTTTCCTCAACTACGCCGATGATACGTACATTTTGGGGCCCAAGAAGCGGGTGTTGGCAGCCTATGAGGTAATGTGGGAACGACTGGGCGGGCTTGGTGTGGAGGTGCAACTACATAAGTGCAAGCTGTGGGAGCGAGGGGTGGATTAGGAGGAAGAGGAGTGGAATGAGGAACGTCCGCCCGGCATGCATCAAACCTGGACGGGGCTCATCGTAGTAGGTGTCCCAATTGGGGAGGAGGTCTGGGAGGTGGCTCGCCTGTGAGACCGTCTGACGCAACAGCAGGCACTTGTCCCATGGCTTCCCCTGCTTGACCACCCACGTGTTGCGTCTCAACTATTGGCGATCACGGTATCCGCGCGACCGATTTATCACACGCGAACGATGCCCCCACGGCCGGGGGTAGTGGAGGCGTTCCGAGAGTGGGAGACGGGCCTCGAGGATTGCTTTGAGCAGCTGTATCCTCATAGTACTTGGGATCATAATTCGGGAAAGTCGAAGATGGCCCACCTGCATCAGCACCTTCCTGCCAGACTGGGAGGTTTTGGCATACGGTTTGCAACGAACCTCAGTCCTTTGTCGTATGTCTGCAGTTGGTGCCAGGCGGTGATGTTTCTCGGATGGGGGTGGCAGGGGAAGAACGGATATTTTAGGAGTTTTTTCGCACGCCTGAGACTACGACCTTGCTGGATCCCTGGTTCTTGGGAGCGGTGGAGCTACTTCTGCAGCCGGTCTGGTAGGAGATGCCGCCCCTTGCCTTATGCACTACGGACCCCCTACTACTACTTTTCCCTACCCAACACTGTCACCTAGCGGTTGAGAGCCTGCAGTCTCTTCGAGGCGTGGCCCATAACGATGCCACCTTATCTAATTTGACATCCCTTTACGACCCGGGGGCGGGGGCGTGGGTTTCTGCCATTTCGTTGCATGTTGAGGCTACCTTCACCGCAGCCGAGCGGAGCATCTGTGATCAAGTCAAGCCAAGGTCGCATCAAGTCTATTCAAGTCGATTATGGGACCCTTCTCTGCTCCCATCTCCGCCCTCCTTTCCCCAGGTGGCCTTCCAAGTGCCCATCCCCTGCTTCGTGATAAGTAAGCTCGCCTTCACTCTCTCTGGACAACCCTTTATCAGCTGTTTACTCTCATTTTCATGTTGCCCCCTTCCCTCTCTATCTCTCCAGGTGGCTTTCCAAGCGCTTATCCCTCTTTTCTGAAGACCAGTGTCGTCTTCACTCTCGCCGTTCAGCCACTCACCTCCCTCGCTGTTCCGCCCCTCCTCGCCGTCCTTCAGGTGCCCTCCACCCCCCACCACTCCTCTCCACTCCACTCCCGTCCATTTTACCTCTTCACTTATCTCTACTCCTCTCCACTCTACTCCTCTCTCCCCCTCTCCACACACCATGAACTGTACTCGGCCAAACATGGCATTTCTCCCTACCACCCATTATAAATATCACATGCTAATTCACCATCCACATGCACGCACAACCCCTTTTCCTTCCACCATCTCAAGTTCCCACCTCCCCAGGGCGTATACCACCAACCCCACATCCACTTTCCAGATCCTCTGTGGAGCAGCTATGGGCAAGCTAGCTGGCTCTCTCGCCCACTACCGTCCCTCCCTCACCTCCCTCACTTCTGCACTGATTTTGTTCTTCGTTTACCCTTGAAATATCCTTCCAGCCCACTCCATCACACTCTCCCTTCTCCCCAGATCCTCTGTGGGGCAGCGTTGGGCAAGCTGGGCTACACAATTGCCTACTGCCATCCCTCCTCACTTTCCTCGCTCCTCTCCCATCCTTCTGCCCGCCACATCGCCTTTTCGGTCGCCCAGAGCCTCGGCCTCTTCCCCTCTGCCGCCGCCCTCCTCTCAGCCCTCCCCCCTCCTCCTCTTTCTTCCCCTTCCCCTGACAACGAATCCAGGTCTTTTGTGCAGTGAGGAAGGGGCAGGAGAGGGAGGGGAGAGGAAAAGGAGGGGGGAGTGGAGGGGAAGGAGGGTGGCTGGAAGGTGGCGCCTGGGTGGGGCGTTTGTCTGCACCTGGGATGGTTGGGGTGACGGAGCGGGCATCGGGGAGAAGGAGGCGTTGGTTATGTCAGCGTGTGCGTTTGGCAACTCGCTCACACCTCCTCTCGTGTTTTCGGCAACACTGCGTTTTGGCGCTGATGCTGACAGGGCTACTAGGTACCTGGCACTCTTCATGGTTCGGTGATTATACTCTTACACCATGCTGTGTTTGGTATTTCAACCCTACCCATTCGTACAAGGATGATGGGTACATGACGCTCTGCATGGTGGGTTAGTACACTTGTTACGGACAGGAGGAAGGTGACGGTGGTGATGTCAGCATGTGCGTTTGAAAACTCGCTCACTCTGCCTCAAGTGTTTATGGCAACACTTTTGTCTTGCGCTAACGCTGGCACGGTTGCTAAGTATCTGGCGCTCTTCATGGTTAGGTATCCGGGCCATGCTGCTGAATGCAGCGGGTGCTGAGAGTGTTGCTGGCAGAGCACCATGTGTTCATTATGGTGGGCGAATTCACCTATGATTGAGTAAGTCACAGATAGTCTCGGAGATAACGTCAGGCGTAACTCATGTCTCATTCAAAGACACAGGTGCCATCAAAAGGATTATAGCACTTCCAGCGTATGAGAAACTCCAGGGCGCCATGCCACCGACGACGATGTGCAAGCACATATTCGACCTCGTACATGGGTTCATTGTTCACAAGGACTAGACGCGGCGGTGGAGGTAGGGCGTCCCGTGTACAACTTATTTAAATCCTGGAAGGGTTTAAGAAGCTGCACATGGAATGCATTATGAAACTTTCGAGCAGTTGGTAGGCTCAAGCGGAATGCGACTGGAGTGACCTGCTCTTATACAAGAAAAGGTCCGCAAAAACGAGGTCGCAACTTCGATGAACGGTGAGCGAGGTTGAGGTTGCATGTGTCAAAAAGCACTAGTCACCAACTGCAATAGCATGGTCGCGGTGATGGCGATCAACCAAGCGTTTCTGGGATGACTAAACAACTTCTCACCCCCCAGGTACATGCTAGCTACAATGCCTCATATGCTGGACCGTTCGCAACTCTCTCTCGCCCATAAGAGGGCTATTTGTGCCCACCATGCTAACTTTCCCGGGCTGCGTCAAGAGAACTTAGCACGCAGCTGCTTCACCCGCTTTGGTGTTTGACCGGACCGTTCTACCATAGGCAAGGCGATCCGCGAAGAATGTTGCTGGAGCTCCTCCGATGAGAGCTCCAACACTGTTTGTGTGCACGGCGGTGCGCATCCCAAGCTCGAGCTCGCGATCATCAGGTGGATCGATTTGGCAGGTCTCGCCGACGTGCCGACTCTGCAAACCATTCGCGATTATGCGGTTGGTATTGCTCGTAACATGGGCTTGCACCCCTCCTTCCGCTGCTCTATCGGTTGGGTTCGACGCACCATGAAGCGTCATGGTGTGCATTTCCTTAGCTCGGTAGGTGAGGTAGTCAACCAGGACATCAACGCCGTCCGTACCTGCAAGGAGAAGATGCCGCCACTTCTAATGCATCTCATCGTTTGTGCATGCAATTTGTACAATTTGATGAGACTTCTCTTTTCCTCTCCGTGCTTCGGAGGAGAACGTATAGAAGGGCGCGCGTGGCAGGGAGGAAGATTCCCAAGAACGCCTGACAATAGGCCTTCTCACCAACGCCGACGGCGTCCACTCTTTCCGCCCGCTCGTCATCTCCAAGGCGCCCCCGAGCCTTTCTACTCAATTACAACCCCAAACGATTGGCGCTCTAACAAGAAGGGCTGGATGACCGCTTCCGTAAGTGTGTGTGCATTTTACAATTTAGAGAGATCACGTTTCCCATGGCTAGCATCAAGTTCTATTATAGTATAAGTAACCCACGTTAGCCGGTCTTCACATATCCTTTTCTGTTCGTCTCCTTTCCACCCCCGCCCCCTTCATCTCTTCACCCACTTCATCGAGCAGCTCAACGCTACAATGTTCACGGAGGGGAAGAATATCGTCATTTTGCTGGACAACGTCGACAACCACAAGCTGCTCACCGAGACGGGTGTTACAGAGGACTTGTTTGATATAAGGACGAAGTCACTGAGCAACATTCGTCTAGTTAACCTCCCCCTCAACACTACCTGCTTCACCCAGCTGTTGGGCCAGGAGGTCATCGCAATGGTGAAAGCGCGTTACGCCTGATTTACCTCCCCCCCAACACTGCCTGCCTCACTAATTGGCTGCACGCATTTACGGCGCAGTGGGATGCGATTGGGGCACTTGCGGCTCTCGCGAGGTACATGCCGAATCTATGTGACGCCCTCGAATGGCCGAGCGACGCGTGGATGAACATTACCTCGCGTACGATTTAGCACTGCTGGTGGCACACGAGGCATCTGCTGAGTGTATGGGAGATGGAGCCCTGGCACGTGGAAGAGCCTGACGTTGACGTCGATTACGAGATGCCCGATTTGGAGGACGAGATGGCGGATGTCGGCACGCTCATCGCGGGCCTGCAGCTCGGCCCAAGCGCGATGCCCACGCCTGAGTTGGTTGAGTTCCACACAAACCAACCCACCTGGGCTGAACCAAGAGAGGACTTGCTCGCGGAAGAGCCGTCACTCCCCACCGCGTCCTCAACGTGGGATGCCTCGCCGCCGCCCACGCCCGGAAACGATGACGACGAAGATGCGGCGCGCGAAGCTCGCTGCACTTCCCGTGCTGCTTGCTAGATGCTTATCGGGTATGCGCGCTCGCTTAACCTTGCCCTGTATGACCTCTGTGCACTGTTCAACATCCGCAATCTCATCATCGTCGAGCGCCTGGAGCGCGCAAGCCCGCGCCTCAACTTGAAACTCCCCACACCCCCCCCCCCCCCTCCCCCTCCTCGTTGTCCTGGCGAAAACGTCCTTCCTTGGTGGATGCTAGCAGGTCGCCGCCGCCAGAAGCTGCTTGATGCAGGTGTTGGCACGGACATGGATGGTTACATGGAGAGTGCCGACTGGATGCGCAATCCTTGAATTGCCATCCACGGCCGTGCACCAAACAGTGTGCACGATGACATTCCGTGTGTGTTTCCAAATGCGAACGTGGGAGGATGTGACTGGCAGGGAGTTGTATGATATTTCTCATAACAAAGTCTGTCATGTTGTTGTTGTGATTGTGATCCAGTGTTATAACTGTTGTGTGTGAATCGTATGAACATGACGACTAGGCTCGTTACCCGGATTGAATGAACACAACAAACACTGCAGTCTGCCTAAACACTACAAACGCCAAACACGTCACAGCCGTGCTCGTTGCCTGTTCCATTATGCCCGCTGCGAACGAGACGAAAGCGTGCGAAAATGATGCCGCTCGAGTAAGCAAGTATCTGAAAGGGAAAAAATGTCAATGGTAACTTACATGGGGCAATAAAATGCGTACGGTAACGATTTCAACGCGTTTGGTAACTCGCCTAACGCGTTTGGTAACTCGCTTAACACGTTTGGTAACTCGCTTAACGCGTATGGTAACTATACACTAGCAGCCCATCACACGAATGGTAACTAGAAGAAACCCTCGCCCAAAATAACACTGGTCTGGTTTTTACCGTTCGCGTCAGACTAAATCGACGAATCTTGAAGCAGAAACCTCTGACACACTCTCTGAGATTCTGACACAGTTTTCCAAAATTCTGACACACTTCCCAAAATTCTGACACGCTTTTCGATCTTCAAGCTAATTAAAAAAACGTAAGTGTTGTAAAACAAATTGTTATACATACTGATATTTTAGCGCTCTTTCCGCAAACTGTTTGTACCTAATTCTATCGTGCAGCCGGGACAAACAAATATATACCCCTTTCAGATGGTGAATTCATTTGAGAGCATCAACCCTAAACTCCTTGCGACAAGGCGTTTATGGTTCATTTAAAATGAAACATGTAATTTTAAAGAGGTATTTTTTCCCACATGCAAAAAAAATGGCCAACGTTGCAGCAATTACAAAAACGTAAAAGCCCCGAGGTCCTTTCGCGGAATGTGCTTAAAAAATAATAATAATAATTTTGCAAGTTCGCAATCATGCTATCAAAAATAAGATTTTAACCGTTTTTGTACGAGCTATATATATGTATATCAAATGACTCTGAAACTTTTCTGTCCGTGGTAATAGAACAAACGGGGTAAAAGCTCGACAAATAAAACTGTGCGCGGCGGGACTTGTTCAAGAAAGATAAAACAGTGCGTAAAAGCTTTCAAACTCGATAAATTCCTCAATTTCAGGATCATTTCGGCGGGAGTTTCATGTAGTTACATTCGCGTGATCACTCGCCTTTGTTAAGTTACCATACGCGTTAAGCAAGCTACCAAACGTGTTAAGCAAGTTACCAAACGCGTTAAGCGAGTTACCAAATGCGTTGAAATCGTTACCGTACGCGTTATAGTGCCACATGTATGTTACCATTGACATATTTTCCCTATCTGAAAAGATGGTGAGCCAGTAGCGGACATCAGGTGTACACTACATATGTGTCATCGGGTCTCGCGGCTGTGATCAGCCAATCAGTTAGAAGTGACCATCCATATGCATATCGCCGCAAGGGCCGACAGAGCCAGAACTTGTTCAGGTGCAGAAGGAAACCAAGGGCATTTGGTGGGATGCATTTCGGTTTCTTTGCAATTCCCGTTGCTCGTGAGTTTCTCTTTTTTCTTCAGAATCTCGCATCGTTTCAGGGACTGCCGGGCCCGTCGCCGCCGCCATGGTCATAGGCAGGGACAGTAAAATTTCCCTCACTTGTTCTCACCTGCCAAATACATTATTCCGCACTGTTCCGCTCCAGGCGTCGCCATACTTGCACGTCCTCAGAGAGGCCTCTGGTCTTAGTAAATTAAGGCTAGTATTTACGAAGCCGCTCCATGGCAACAGCTTCCGTAGCCCGCGACTCGAAGCGCTCTTCGCTAGCTTGTGTGGTCGGGCCTTTCGCCGCGTTAGTGGTAGGTTCGTTGCTATTCACCATCCTCGTGAGCTCAGGTACGACGTATCCGGACGCACCAACCCTACACGAACCGTCCCCGAACGCGAACGAACAGGGTAACTCAGAAACTGGCGTGGCTGCGAGACAGGCGAAACTTCAGAATCAGAAAATCTCGGCAGGATCCGTACCGATCTGCTGGTGGTCCGGGGACCATGGCGGTTACCGCGGGGGCGACTCGCCGGGAACGAGCGACCTGCCAACGTACTCTTATGGCGGGGCGCGGCAGAATGGTTCAACACAGCAGCATGATCGCACGCAAACGCCCCCTGCCACTGGCAATGGCCATGGCAATGGCACTGGCCAAACCGAAAACGAGGAGAGCAGCAGTACAATTCGGAAGCAGAGGAAGGGAGGAGTTTTGATTTTCGGCGGGGGGGCTCACACTGCACGGTGGGTGAGCTGTGCGCCTTCGAGATCGCCGTCAGATTGCCCGCGAAATGGGTCTTTGAGAGTCGAGCAAAGGGCCTTAGCCCCAGCAACGGCAGCTGCTGCAGCAGGAGTAGTAGCAGCAACAGCAGCAGCAGCAGCAGCGCGCGGAGGGGCGTGGGTGGGATGCGCGAGTCGCTGGTGGTGAGACTGATGGGGCCTGCGTTGGCTGCGGCGGATGTGACTACAGAGGAGGGGGACGTCGCGCGATGGCGAGTCACGTACCGCGTGTGGGACGCTGGTAACTACAAGTGAGGCTTGAGGCATGCGGGGAGACAAAGGGAAGGGGGAATAGGGAGGGCAGATGGGCGAGAACAGGGTATGGGGAGGGGTAGGAGGGGGGAAGGGGTGGGAAGGGAAAGGGAAATGGGAAGGATGGGGTTGGGGAAGTGGAAGGGGAAGGATGGGGATGGGGAAGCGGAAGGGGAAGGATGGGGAGGGGGAAGGGGAAGGGGAAGGAGGGGAGAAAAGGCTGTCGTGAAATAGGGGATGGGGCAAAAGGGAGGGAGGGGATGCGATCTCGGAAGAGCCCCGCACTTCTCTTGACTCGACTCAAGATTCTCCCCGTGAAGCGAGAGTATTTTTGAGACGTCTCAAAAACGATCTCGGAAGAGCCCCCCACTTCTCTTGACTCGACTCGCAAATGGTTCCCTTCCCGACCCTCTCGCCGTTTACATGATATAAGGTTGGGTTTTGAGACGTCTGAGTCGACTCAAAGTCCCTCTCGCCGTTTACATGATATAAGGTTGGTTTTGCGAC